TTCGCTCACATCTTAATCTTAAATTTTGCCTGACCTATAACCTTCTTTCTATTTTCCAAAAGATACGTGAAGGACCTCATGGCTCATATGACATCATCTCTAGTGGACTTATCCAATAACAGTGACCTTAAAAACCTGGCTCAACAACCTGATATCATTATGCTGGTGAGAAGGAAAAACACCGGAAAACTTAGATTTATTTATTGCTAAATCCTTATAAACAGAATGGTTCTTTCCTATTTTGTGGTAGGTGAGTTGTGTGTTAGAGCGGCTTCGAGGAGCTGCAAGTGCCACTGAACCCCGGACACAGAGAGCAATTTATGAGATGGGATTGTCTGTCATGAATCCTGTGCTCCGTCTTCTTGAGGTTTACAAACACGAGGTATTGTTGAAGGCTCAAATATATTATTTCGAACGTTATTTCAGAATCTCTATGAACTCTACTTAATATTTCAATACAGATGCTGCACGTTATTATCTTTGTCTCCCACGTTATCTAATTATTTTTTATTGCTTAGTCTGCAGTAATTTATCTACTTCTTAAATTTGTCGTGGATTGGGTGGATGGGCAATTATCTTACCTAGAGGCTCATGAAACAGCCGTGGTTATTAATTTCTGCATGAGTCTTCTACAAATATATTCATCACACAATATTGGAAAGGTAAATCTGTGCCCCCATCTCTTCCTTACTTCTCTGTTCAGACTGAGCGTTATTGCTTGAAAGCAGTCAAAAGAATTGTTTGCATACCCTCACATCCACTTGTTTTGTTTTTCCACCTCAGATATCAGTATCCCTCTCGAGTACCTTGCTTAATGAAACGAAAACCGAAAAGTATAAGGATCTACGCGCTCTGCTTCAGCTACTTTCCCATTTATGCTCAAAAGATATGGTAAACGGTCTTGCGGTAGAAAATAATAACACACGTTAATATTCCTTAACTTCTAACAACTGTTACTACCTTTTGCAGGTTGATTTTTCATCTGACAGTATTGAGGCACAAAGTACAAATATATCCCAGGTAAAATCCAGTTAATTAAGATAAAATTCTATAAGATTGGTTTGTGTAATTCTTTGAAACTTACAGGTGGTGTACTTTGGTCTCCATATAATCACGCCACTTATAACTTTGGAACTCCTCAAATATCCCAAGCTTTGTTTCGACGTAAGGCTTTGCATCCATCATTCACCAAACTTATCGTAGTACTCTTACTGCTATAACTTTCACTAAAGTGATCAAATTCTGCAGTATTTCTCGCTCATATCGCATATGCTCGAGGTTTACCCCGAGACCCTCGCACAACTCAACAGTGACGCATTTAACCATGTACTTACAACAGTAGACTTTGGTCTTCATCAGCAGGTGAAGTTGAATCTTCTTTACAGAGATAATAAGCGAATCCCTTTTGCTCTAGTTTTACAACAATGTTAAAAGTAAATGTATTTATTGATATGCTCATCAGGATGTTGATATAGTGACAATGTGCCTGAGAGCTCTAAAGGCTCTTGCTTCATATCACTACAAAGAGACAAATGCTGGCAACTCGGGTTTGGGTTCACACGCTGCTGGACACACAGATCCAAATGGACTATTCCACGAAGGAATACTGAGTCGATTCCTTCGTAAATTGCTTCACTTCCTTCTTTTTGAAGATTACAGGTACTAAAACTCTATTCACCAAAATCATTCGTACGCGCTCTAACGGGTTGCTTAAAGTGTTTTTTTTGCCGGATTCTTGTTACAGTCCCGACCTAGTCAGTGCAGCAGCAGATGCTTTGTTCCCTCTTATTCTCTGTGAACCAAACCTTTACCAGGTTGGTCTTTAATGCTCTGTTCCCTTGTTCTTTCTATGTCTGAAACCACGGTAATTTAGCAGTTTGTGTTACCTCTAGGGATTGGGCAACGAACTGATTGAGAAGCAGGCGAATCCGAACTTCAAAACAAGACTAGCGAACGCGCTTCAGGTGCTCACGACGTCGAACCAGCTATCATCATCCTTGGACCGTCTCAACTACCAAAGATTTAGAAAAAACGTCAACAACTTCCTTATTGAAGTTCGTGGGTTTCTGAAAACTAGGTGATCGAATGTTATTTCTAAGTATTTTATCAGAGATTCACCAAAAATGCGATTTTGTTGTTATCATACTAACTTTTCTTTCAGTTTTTTTCAATATTAAAACTGAAGTCAAAATACCGTATTGAATTATGCAATAATATCTTGCATTTCACTTGTTGGAATTGAGAAATGTCATACTATTAAACAACCAATAATTAAGAAAAAAAAAAAAGCCTAATAACAACAGACATTTTGGTGAGAACGGATTGTCCATTTGCAAAATTATCACTAATTATGAATTTTTAGAGACTAAAGTTTAAAATTCTAAAAAATATTTTGACCCCTAAAAACTTGTAATCCTCAAAATTAAACCTTAATACAACATAGTTAACCCAAACATAAATAATGTAATCAATAAATAATAGGGACAATTGTAAAAATGCCACTTTTGGTGTGTACATTTGCAAGAATGCCACTTAGAGGTGTCTGTTTGCAAAAATGTCACTAATTATGGATTTTTAAAACCTAAATCTTAAAATTATAAATCCTAAAAAAATTTTGACCCCTAAAACCACATAAACCTTCAAAACTAAACCCTAATACAATATAGTTAACCCAAACATAAATGATATAATGAAATTTTTTTTTGAAAAAGTGATATTTTTGCAAAGATTTTGAAAATGTGGTATTTTTGAAAAATGACATTTTAAAAGTGGTATTTCTCAACATTTCTCTAAATAATTTTGAAAAATTAGCATTTATACAAAAATTTTGAAAATAAGTCATTTTTGAAAAACGGCATATCTCAAAATTTATCAATAATATAACAAAAAGTAGTTACGTCAATAATATGTGATCGTTGAATATTTAATGTCAATGAATCTCATTAATACCCTACTCCCTCAAGTGCCACCATGATCCAACATAACAATCCATACAATGTTTAATCGTCTTAAAATCCACGAATCACGATCAAACTGCTCAATTTGAAGATTTATTTTTTCGTTTTTTTATGAAATTTGTGGAAGTTGTTACATCGGTTTAACTGGTTGTAAGCCATAAAAACAACATAGAAAACAGTAATATTGATTAAAACAAGACAAAAAAATTCTTATCTTGCTTATATTTTGA